GCTCTAATACCATTTATAATGCCCTAAACCCACCGCTAGCAAATATTGTCCTCGTTAAGCTTTCTCTTTCGAGTTTCCCCTCAACGATTTAAAACGCGTCTATTAAGGAAACGTCTCCACATCCTTATAAAGGGTGATTCATTCTCCTCCCAAATCAATATGAGATATCACATCTAAATTGAGACCGACACTATACGAACAGATGGTGCAGGAGCACACACACTTCTGTTTCCCCCAATCTAAGCTACCGCATATGTTTTTAAACCGAGTTGTCGGTGATTCAAAGTTGGCCGCTAATGTTTACACAATAATAATCACGTGAATTCAACTTTTCTAATAAAAATAAAATAATTTGGGTATTTGAAATTTAAAAAACGAACAATAGACTCATATATATATATATATATATATATATATATAAAAATTGAAGTAATTAGGATGTCAGAACTTGGTTGAGGCATTTGAGAGCTCGTGTTTCTCGTGATATATGTTCTACTGCGTCAGTCATAACCTATCCTGCCACTCACTTCAGAGATAATGAAATCAGTTTTTATTTATTTATTTATTTATTAACTTAAATACTGTTAGCCATTAAAAAAAATAATTTTAAAATATTTAATTTTAAAAATATTAAGATCCCACAATCTGTTTCCAACGATAACGAAACATCGAGTGTAGAAATCTTTCTCTGTTAGACGCGTTTTAAAGCCTTGAAGGAAAGTCCGGAAGAAAAAGCCAAAAGAAAACAATATTACTAGCAGTCGAGTGAGTTGAATGACTAAATTTTTACACATTTTTTAAATTAAAAAAAATCTAATAATTATTTTATTAATTTAGGAATTTATTATGCACTTAATATGAAAATTTTAAATTTTCATAATCATTTTAAAATATGTATTTGAAGAAAAATAAATTTATTTAGATGATTTAGAGTTAATTTTATATGAATCTTAAAAATAATTATAAATTATTTAATTGATATTGAAAAAGTATAAATTAAATAATAATGAACTATTTTTTATTATAATAAATTTGGGGAAAAAAAAGTGAAAAAAATGAAAATATAAAGTGAGTTACGTCATATTTATTTGAGATGTAAGAAATTGGACGATAAAGTGAAAGAAAATACAAGAAAAAGATCTCATAGGACATTATTAGATCTTGTGCCCCACCATTAATATGCAACATTCAAACCAATTTCACTCCATTTTTAAGGTTATCTCGAGTTTGAGTGAGATCAACCCATTTTGAGTTAGTTGAGTTAGTGACCCGAACAACTTAAATAGAGTTCACAACTCAATCCAACCTAACTCAACCCTCTATTTTTGTGTTAGGTTGGGTTAAGTTGTCGCGTTGTCTTTTTTTCATATATAATTATTTTAAAAAAATCTTATTTATCTACAATATATGTTACATTAATAACTAAAATCATATAAAACTTAAATATCAAACATTCACAAGTCACAACATATCACTAACATTAATTACAAACGTAAAATATTTTTAATCTTCGTAATAATCTTAAAAGTAAAATAGAATAAAGTTGAGTTGTAACCTATATTCAAGTGGGACGAGTTGACCCGACAAAAAAAAATCTCAAACCGTGAACCAGCCCAAATTTTTAGGTTTCCAAAAATTCAACCCAACTCAAACCTCGAAAAAAAACCTAACCCAACTTAACTTATATGGTCTGGATTTTGATTGACACTAAACTTGGCGAGAATTCATATTTCATATGGACGAACTTTACTCCAGAATCGCATGCCCAAATTCCTTTCGGAACCTCGACTTTCGAGGTTAAGGCCCGAGACCCTACCCGACCCTTCAACAAGCCTATCTTTGTCCCTCTTGTCTATTCGATGTCTCGATCTTGCTTATGTCTCAACTTGTTTTCAATGCCCACTCTATGTGGTGTGTTAGATGATGCACCGTCCTCGATCGCATCGTGGTATTCTATTTGAATATTTTCTCTTATTTTTAAAATTTAGATGATAATTTATATTTTATTTAAACGATGTGAACATTAATGAAAATCGGACTTTCGATCTCACTAATGTTTTTCATTCTTAACATGGTATCAGAGCATAATTCTTAACATAACACCTTTAGTTCTTAAGCGTTTTAAAACCTTTCAATTTGTGTCGAGTTGATCCGTGAATTATAAAAAATATTGGAACTCATGATTTGTCCACAAATAATGATTGTGTCTCATGAAAGAACATTGAGGTATGAAACCCAATGGAAATGAAGAACCATGAAGATGAAATTGATACTCAATGAGGGAACCAACAAAGAAGAAAAAGGAAAATGATAGCGTCCAATGGTAACACAAAAGAATCTTATCTTATCTTATCTCATTCAGACACTCTGCACTACTGAACCTAAGCGTACCTCCTTCCAAATTCATGACCCTCTCGAAATCCCCATTCCCGTCGCCGAACAGCGGATGCGGCGGCGCCGCCAGGATATGGTGGGGTTACTAACTATCAGCGGTAGGAAAGTCGGTGGTGTGGGAATGTTTGGCGGCGGAGCTTTTAAGTTGGTTGAATGTGGTTATACATTCTTTTTAATGGTGTTCATATGATGCACTAAATAAGATTAAAGTTGGTACATTTTGAGATTATTCTCCAAATTTAATCTAATGATATACTACTAATCATTATGATCTCCAATTTTATGTTTGTTTCACTTCCACTCGATTTGGCTCGGCTCGGCTCGGCTCGACTCAACTCTCTTATGAATTCCTTTGCTCCCTTGGTCTCCTCGTCTTTGATCTCTCCTCTCGCATCGAATCTCTATCTCTTTTTGGTCTCGTTGTGCTCTAGTGTTAGTGTTTCACTTTCGGTGTCACTATAGCAAGATGGGTCGATTAAGTTTGAGTCTTGTGATCGATTCAACAAAGGTTCTACTTCAGGTCTCTTCTTTCTAAATGTAAGAGCCCAAACCTACTGTTAGTCGATATTATCCTTTTTGGGTTTTCCCTTCAATGACTTTCCCTCAAGGTTAAACACGTTTGCTAAGGTTTTCACATCTTTATGAAGAATAGTTTGTTCCCCTCTCCAATCGACATGAGATCTCACAATCCACCTCCCTTCAGGACCCAGTGTCCTAGATGGCACACCGTTTAGTGACTGTCTCTAATTCCATTTGTAACAGTCGAAGCTCACCACTAGTTTATATTGTCATCTTTGATTTTTACTTCAAGGGTTTTCCCTCAAGGTTTTCAAACGCGTCTGCTAGGGAGAGGTTTCCACACCCTTACATTTCATTCCTTTCTCCAATCGATGTAGGATTTCACACTAAGTGTGAGTGATCTCTTAACCTCGTGATCTCCAAACAAATAGGGAGTTGTTTGGAAATCATTCAAAGTAAAAGTTAATGAGATGTGACACTCAAATAAAAAAAGGGTACATGAAAAAATTGAAACCAAATTTAAATGAGAATGATCCCGAGAATATAAAATTATCGTTAAGATGACTGAGTCATCATGGTAATGATATCAGTAGAGTATTCATTTGATGAGTGGATGCCAACTCAATAGACTTTAAACTCCGCATAAAACCTACCTAAATCTCAATAGAATTGGCAACCATAGATTGATTTAATTTTTCATTATGGCCAACCTAATTATGAATAATTCACTAGGACCACGTTTCGAATCGTAAGCGTATGCATCTTTGACTTTAAAAGCGAGATTCCTTTTATAATATTTTTAATTTTTAACTATTTTCAATGTTTTCTCATCATTATATACTAGTGTTCAAGAAACGAGAATGTTTGTCAATTGTGGTATGAATTTTAGGAGTGTTCAAAAAAAATTCAATGACCTAATAGCTCGAAAATCTTGATCAACTAATTCCCCATCATAAGGGGAAGTATCCTGATGGACGTGAACGTACATTTATGCATGAGATCTCAACAGTTTTCATGATAAACAAATAATGCCACACAACCCCTTCTTTAATTTCATTTCACTCGCATAATCTATAAAACATATCTCAAGGGTTGTATGTCATAAACTGCCTATATCTTAAAACATTTCATCGCATGTCATACATATCATAATATGTCATCATATTTCATACCATATCATAACTCATTAAAGCATAATAAGACATCCGTTCATATTATAAAGTTACTTGACATATATATGCATATCATATAACAAACCATATCATATCATAAAACATGACAAACATATGACACGTGCAAGGTCACTAGGCACGTGTCATCATACATAAGACAACTCTTCCAACTATACCAATAGTAGAGCCGCTTACTTAGTTCACCTAGACCGAAACTACTATGACCTTTGGATGCTAGTTTAATGTTGTTATCGGAAATTCAATTCTGCCTAAAGAATCCCACAAACATAAATTAGAATTTCTAGCATGAGGATCAATTCACCTAATTTCGCATAAACTAATTTAAGCTATAGCTAAAACGTAGTCATACTAACCTTAAACGCTTTCGAAAAGTTGAAACTAGTAAGAAATGTCGGAGTGTATCAAACCCAAGCCGAATAAGCTGAAATGTTAGCCTAGAGCCATAAAAAAGTGTACTCTTCGACTGACTTTAAACGGTTCAAGTGGGGTAAAATAAAGACCAAGGGACCTCATTTTAATAGCGGAGTCCAATTCCCCATTTCCTCAACATATCCAATGTGAGACAACTTTTTTTATTTATTGGGTTATTACCTCAACCTCAACCTCAACGACAATCACACAAACAACTCAAGTAACATAACTCACCTACAAAGAGACCGACATTAAAGACGAGACGAAAACCAACCATCCATACCTCGACACATCCGAGAAAAAAAAAAAAAAAACAAAAATGGGAAAAAGCAAAGAAAACCTAAAAAGTTGCTAAAGATTTAAAGTGCCAACTGTATATATCTATCTCCTCAGCAGTTGAAGATAGAATAGAACAGACAGAGCTGGATTTCATCACCCATTGCCCAATCGCCTCCAAACACAACAACAAGTGAAAGAAAGCTCTTTTATGGGAATTGCTTAGCCACAAAAAGTAAAAACGTTTAAATATCTTTACCTCAAAGGCTCTTCTTTTTCTCTATTTCTCTCTCTTCAACCCATTGGAGGGTTCTCCGAATAATGGTATCTTGTCTGCAACCCCTTCTCTTCAAGCTGTGTCAGTAATTAACCCCAAAAGCTACCAACGCCATTACCTCAAATTTAACCCAAAAATAAAATCAAATCAACACCTTCTTCTCTTGTTTTTCCTTAGAAGAATCAAATTTTGGCATCAAATCTGAGGTGGGTTTTTGTTTTTGAGCTTCAATTTCTCTATCTAGAATGAATTTGATCCATTTTTGTAAAAAAAATTTCATCTTTTTTTGTTTCTTGATAGAAATCTTGCATCAAATCGAGGTGGGTTTTTGTTTTGAGCTTCAATTTCTCTCTCTAGAATGAATTTGATGCATTTTTGTACGAAAAAATTCATCTTTTTTGTTTCTTGATAACAAATTTTGCATCGAATCTGAGGTGGGTTTTTGTTTGAGGCTCAATTTCTCTCTCTAGAATGATTTTGATCCATTTTTGTAAGAAAAATCCCATCTTTTTTTGTTTCTTGATAGAAATCTTTGGAGAAACCATTGTTTTCACAAAGATCAAAGCTTTTTTGTTTTGATTTTTCAGGAAAAGGAATTGAAAGATGACGAGGAAGAAAATTCAGATCAAGAAGATCGACAACATAGCAGCAAGACAAGTAGCATTTTCAAAGAGGAGAAAAGGGCTTTTCAAGAAGGCTAAAGAACTTGCAATTCTTTGTGATGCTGAAATTGGCCTTCTTGTTTTTTCTGCTTCTGGCAAGCTCTTTGACTACGCAAGTTCAAGGTTTTTCTTCTTACCCTTTTTTTTCCTAGAGAGAGAAAGAGGAGAGAGAAAACAAATTTGCACTTTTTAAGCAATTAAATAATAGTAAAGAAACCATAAACATGTGGGGGATGTGAATTTGGTGATGAACTCGATCTAAAATCAAGGCTAGTTGAGATTTGAAAGCCCTTCTTGTAGAGATCTTCCCCCTCATAAAATATAGGGTAGATTTGAAATTTGAGGTGAAATTCATTTAAGTTTTGCATGAGATTTGAGGGAATTTGCAAGTTTTGAGAGATGGGTTTGGTCTAAATTTGAATTTAGATAATGGGTTTTGTTAGAACATAGAAAATTTGTTCAAATGTTCATATTATATTCATATCATGTTCATATCATGTTCATATTAAGTATTGTTTTCTTTGTTATGCATCAATTTTGTGATTGTTTTCATTCAATTTCTGATATATATGATTCTCCAAACCTTGTTTCTACTTTCAATTAGCTGTTTTTTCCATTCAATACGAGAATAGAAATGAAAAAAAGAACAGAAAAACGCATAAACATGTAAGCTTCAAGCATAAGATTTTGTTTGTAGTCCTTTTTCTTAACAAATTAGAACATTTAGGCCTCAAAAAATGGCATTTTTCATCATGGGTTCTCTTGTTTTCTCTTAAATTTTGAATTTTAGAGAAGGATATAGCTTAAATCTTCATTGTTCTTAGTAAATAAAACATGAAATATACAGAATCTCCCTTGAAAAATTATACTCAAACAGTGAAAGAGATTGAAAATTGTTCTCTCTCTCTAAACTCCAATAACTTTTTCTCTCTCCACAAAGTACTCACTATATTTCCTTTTTAAATAATCTTCATAGGCATAAGCTTCAAAGAGATTTGAAATTGTAACAAAGGACAGACAAGCATGTTTTGAAAGAATAACGTTGTTATATGCTAAAAACATGTTGAAAGAAAAGAATAATGCCTTAAGATCTTAAGATCTTAAGAACATTATAATTATCTTTGTCAAATATGAAGACAATGTAGTTATTAGGGTTTTGTTCGATAGTACTTTTGTTTATGATTTTTGTCCTCCCTATCCTATGATGTTCTTTCATCTAAACCTAACCCTACATGTCAATGTTTGGTGCTTCAATAATGGAAAGCTATGAAATCTCAACTTATGTGTATAAGATTTGCATCTAAGAACATGTTTGGACACAAGTTTTGCCCTTTGAAGGTCAAAAAGTTTGATTGGGAAGGAACCCCACAAGTCCTTTTTTCTATTAAGATGGTTTCGTGTAGAACTCGGTTACAATTTTTAGAGGGTTGACGAAACTTTTCGAGGAAATGGGGGAATTGGGAAGGTTTAAAGCATTTTTTTTTAGCGTTCGTTCATCGGAATTTTCTCAATTTTCATGTTGGCTTAGTGTTCTTTTAGATTTGAATCCGTTTTTGTTAATGTCTTGTTTAGGACCTACTACCCTAAACTCTTCTATGTCTTATTTCACTTGATTGGATTGGAGCCTCTTTTTATAGTTCGACTCCTTCTGAACTTTACATTTAGATGATCTTGTACTCTTCTTCCCATCGAAAGTTCGACATTAGAATACATAAAACGAATGAGAAAAATATTATATGAAGCTTGGTACAAAACATTAAGAGTTTCACAAAACAACACTGAGAATGGACTTAAACCCTATGACTCAATTAGCATTCACCTAATGCGTCCTTACTATGCCAAGTTATAAAAAACTTAGATAGTAATCCCTCTAATAGAGTCAGACGTGACTTATATCAACAATTAGCTCATTGGATTGAGCTATGCCAATTATCTTGGAGTGCATAAGTAAGAGTTTTGTGACATTGTGCCCCTAACGGATGAAAATTGACACCCGATTAGTTGAGTCGAGACTCACTCATCATATCGTCTCACGATAATAGATGGGTATTGCCACTATACTTGTCATGATATAACAAATGCTTGCACAAACATCAAAATTATCACTATTACAACACGCACTACATTTCATGACCTAAGACAGTCCATTAATAGAGCCTACCTGAAACCTGAAACCCAAAACGTGGTTTTTTGCCCACAATGCACAATCAACAACACTGTTAACTGGGCGTGCAACGGTGGTGGTGGACCTAAAACGAGAGAGAGGGGGAGAGAGAGAGAGAGAGAGGCGGAGAGAAACTTACTAACGACAATCAACATGGGCGGCGGTGCAGCTAGACGTCGGAGAAGGCAGGAGGAGGGCGTCGCAAGGGGTGATCAGAGGGAGAGAAAGATGGGCGAGAGAAGAGTGAGGGAGAGAAAGGTGATTTAAAAAAAAAATGAATTTACTATATATATTTTAACCTAACCCTAGTTAACTTTACCTTGTTCAACCCTCAAATTTAACCATTAAAACTAGGATGCTTAGAACACCTGGTCACTTCAAGAACCTGATTAACCCGACCCAATTGTTTGTATTGAATTATGAATTTATTTAAGTTGGTTCGATAAAAAAATAATAATAATAATAATAATTATGAGTTGAATTGAGTTGATGAATCACCAATCAAAATTTTTGCTTACGATATATATATACACTTTAATTTTATTATATTTTTTTTTTCTAATAACTATTTTTTTTTATTATTTATTCTTTTAATTAAATATTCGAAATTTTTTTAAGAATTTTATTAAAAACAAAAAATCGAATTAATGATTTGATCATACGTGAATATTTTAAGGTTGAGTTGGATCGAGTCAATTATTTAATAAAGGTTACTTGTTTTGGGTCTAGAAAAGGTTTAAACTCGACCTAACCCAATTCATTAACGTTCCTGATCAAAATCCAGATATTTGTACAATCTTAATTTGATAATTCTAACTGGTTCGACCCACTTAAACTGAAAATTTATATTTGAAATGAGAATTTTAATTTAAAAAATAAAGTTCTAACAACATAGAGCAAAAGTATAAATTTCTTTTTCTAGAGCCGGAGACGTTACAATCTCACCTCCTTAAGAACTTTCGTCCTTAAAAGTTCGTAATCCTTAGAATGTTCTGTATATCTTATTTTTGTTCATCTTCTCATTTTCAAGTCGCTTCCTCAAATTGATGGTTTTGCCAAAGAACTTTTGACGAGTGTTATCTCTTGTTTACACAATATCTTCGATTACTTAACTAGATATTTTTTTTTTTTGTGTTTTTTTTTTCTGTAACTTAAGTTTTCATCAAAAGCTCGAACTTTACTGCATGAGGTGGATTTGTCATATACTTCCATAGCACAAAAACACGAAAACAAGAATCTTAAACGGTCTAGAAAATGTCGCTCAACTTCCTCTTTCCTTTGAACCTCGGAACCCTTTCATAGATGTTGCCTTAAGGAATACTTTATCCTCCAAGTCTTTTTGCTTAGTATCGACTTAACTCTTCTATCTACTATGTGCTATTTGCATCCTAACTCTAATATTTTAGATGACCTTATTAAACTTAGATTAACCTAGTGGGGGAATTGCACAGTTTCTTAGATAGGGCTTCAAATGGAGCGATGTCAAGTGTTGCCTAATAGTTGTTATGCACGTGGACTTCGTAAGTGCACATGAGAGTTCTAACTATCGACGAAACTCAGCTTGCAAGCGCATAACATGTCTTCTAAAGTTTGATTCAACCACACAAGTTAACACTATCAAATTTTAACCCGAGCTACAACTCAAATATTAATCTTTGTTTGGATTAGAAAATAAAATTTTGAACCTAATTAAATTGATTTACTCAAAACACGAACCCCTTGTTGAGTTAATAAGCTTAATTTGTACATGATTTAGTGGAATCAAGTTATCAGAGTTATCCAACATGTTAGAATCAAAACCTATGAGGTGGCACTTTATAGGTTCAGCGTTAAGCTTGTCACTATTCTTTGGATCAATATGAGCATACACAGTACAACCAAAAGTTCTCAAGTGAGAGTATTTGAGTTCTTTTCCTATTCATATTTCTTTTAGCAACACTCCTAGGGTACTGATAGCCCTCTATTGATCAAGTAGACTGCTTTATTTATAACATCGACCTAGAATGTTTTTGACAATCCAGAATGAATGCTCATACTTCTTACTCATTCAATATTCTATTCATCTTTCAGCAACACCATTTTTTCTTACTTTACTTTGAACGGTTCTTGTTAATCTGATTCCCTTAACTACATAAAATGTTTTGAATTCTGACTTATCGTACTCTCTTTCATTGTCATACCTTAGACATTTGATCTTCAAGTCGGTTTGATTTTCAATTTCAGCTTTCCACTTCTTTAAGGTGGCAAACACATCTGATTTGTGTTTTAGGAAATAAATTCACACCTTTTGAAATCATCGATGAAGGTGACGTAGAACTTTGATCCGCCAAGTGATGGAATTGGAGATAGTCCTCAAACGTCTGTATAGACCATTTCCAATCGTACTTTCTTCAATTCTCTAGCAGCCTTTATGAAGCTAACTCGTTTCTGTTTGCTCATAGCGCAACTCTCACAAGGACCCTATATCAACAGATTTCAAACCTTCTAAAACTTCTTTCGGAGCCAGCATCTTCATTCCTTTGACGCTCATATGTCCAAGTTTATTGTGCCATAGACTTGAATTTGAAGCACTTTAAGTAATATCATCCATGTATAATAGACCCTACTATGGTGTATAAGGTTCCAGATTTTGTGCGACGTGCTACCACCATAGCACCCTTCACAATCTTCCATGAACTCTTCCCAAATTATGTTGCTTGCTATCCAACTGACCAATAGAGATCAAGTTCTTCTTGAGACCAAGAATATATCTGACATCCCCTTCCCTTCAATCTTCAAGGCTTTGTTGTCGATATGATACACATTCTCGAATTTTTTAGACTTGAAATTTTGGAACAACTCTTGATTTGGGGACGAATGAAAAGATGCACCTGAATCCAAAATTTAGAATTTAATCGAACTGTCCACGTTGAAGATTAGAGCATCCCAGTGTCTTATGCTGAATTTATAGAATCATCAT